ATGTGTTATACTCACCAATGACCACAGTAGCTGTCTGCTGTGAAAAAATAGTATTACCTTTTGGTACTCCTAAAAAAATATGATAATAAAGGCTAATGATGATTCTGACTGCCTGAATTTAGTAAAATCCCTTGATGTTTCCTAAGTCAATACACCATCTGTTTGACCCATTTGTTTTAAACAAAAGGGCAGACTAAGAACTAAACCAGTATTATGATGACTTGCACAATAGAAGACTCGAAGACCATAAGGCTGCGTTTGGTCGTCCGGATTTCTAAACAGGATAGGACTGGATAGGATAGGATAAGAAATCCTGGGATTTCTTCATATCCTATCCACTGTTTGGTGGACTACGGATTTAAAGTCGGATATGATAATTTTTTTTTTTTTTTGCTATTCACGGGTCCGGGGGGAGGAGTCGGTGAAGGAAAAAAAGCCAAGAAATTTTTTTGGTGAAAGCGCACAAGGTGTGGGGATGAAGATGACGGCGAGTGGAGCGTAGGGTTTCTGGAAAAATAGGCATTAGAAATCCTATCCGGGTCTATCCCACCTCCCCCCTCGGATTTTTTTCCGGGCTATATCCGGTCTATATCCGACCTTATCTTATCCTGGACCACCACCAAACACAGGATAGGATAAAACATATCATATCCTGGCTTTTATCCGGTCGACCAAACGCAGCCTAAGATGCAACATGATGGACCACAATAATCAGTGGTTTTCTTCTTGTGATAGAGACAAGTGCTTCTGACCAGAAGAAAATTCCTATGGATAGAGTTACCACACATGACAAAGTGCCTCCGATTCCACCCACATGCACACCACATCCACACGCACGCACACTCTTAGAGAGAGAGAGAGAGAGACAGAAAGGGGGGGTGGGGTTTACAACTCTTGCCCGCAATCTAAAATCTTACCTTCCCTATCATATGTGAGTTAGAGAAATCCAGCTCAGAAGGGTCAATTTCCCAGTCACATTTATTAGGCAATGGGGGTGGAACAGGCTTTGGTTCAAAATGACTTCCGTTTTGGCCCTGCATCATGCATACCACAATTAAAATTGGCCAAATGCAATCAGTACATCACAAAACAACGAACATTGAACACTTAAAGACAAATTTATGCGATGATCAAATTGGTTGATTGCCATGATTGAAGCAATACTGAACCATAGCATTTACTGTGTATGAGACCAGTTAGAGCATTCATATTAACCGGACTCCAGACGGTAAATGAAGGTTAAAATTTAGCAGAAACTAAAGTCATATGAAAATAAACACAAGATACTTAAAAAGTTAGATATGTTCTTGGTTCCCATAAATGTGATAACTAATCGGTTTTATATTGCCCCTTTTCATTTCTAGGGTGGAAAGATAATCTTTACATGAAATGAGGTTAAAATGACTGGTGACCACAAATCTCCAATGGTTCAATTATAGTTCACCTAAACATTTTTCAAATATTGAAGAAAACGTTTCTTGATCATTGATATCCTTAGGCATCCAGAAAATACCACAGTAATATGAATTATGCTTCAGCGTAATATGTGAAAAAAGAAACAAGCACAAAGACATTCAATTTAATTTTCTATCATTCATATGATTTATGTGCATTACTCCTCATTGTATTCATGCATTTGTGCACGTATAATGAAGCATGTAAACAATGTGACTCCTTCAAAACAGATTTCATTCCAAAGAGGAACCCCAAGAAACCATAATGCTCTAATTAATCTATGTAGCTGCTATACTAAGATTGCTGATACAACTCTGATTGGGAATGGGAAATGAGCTAGCTCTTTTTCCTTTTTTTTTCTCTTTCATGAAATAAATAAGAAAGCATTCTTTCTCAGTGAGAAAGATTATGAAAATATAATCTTCTCAAACCTTTTCCTCAACTAACACACTTCCAATTTAATATGACCTCAACTTACAAGTTTCCACCAAGGAAAAGGAAAAAATGTTTTCTCTTTCATGAAATAAATAATAAAGCATTCTTTCTCAGTGAGAAAGATTGTGAAAATATAATCTTCTCAAACCTTTTCCTCAACTAACTCACTTTCAATTTAATATGACCTCAAGTTACAAGTTTCCACCAAGGAAAAGGAAAAAAGGTAAAGAGGGACATACCAATACCAACCATAATATACTAATCCTCTAGGGATCCATAATTTAAAAAGAACACTTGATTCTCTTCCACAAAGAATTTTGGAACATTAAATTAACACTGCCACCATTCTAGTAACAGTCGGCATCCTTCAGCATGATAAATTATCTGTGATTTGACAACAAAGTGCCCACATGATTCAGGTTTAAGCTGTCCAGAGAATACTCCTCGCTTTCCCGTCCAAAAACTATGAAAATTATTCAAGGTGACTTTAAACTTTGCCATTTATATGTTTTTAAAGATTTGATATATTCATCATTGAATGAAATTCTCATTCAAACTCTAAAAATTAAAGTAAAATGGAAAAGGAAAAGACACTCCAATCACCATTCAAATCTCCATATAGATTTCAAAGAAGAGTTTCCATTATAATATGGAACACGACCTTTTACCTACCTAGGCACTAGTGTATAACTAAATGATTGTTAAAAGCCAATCCTGTCATGCCGTTTTAGACAAAAGGCCTTCATCTCCATTTTGGTACCAAGTATAAGAGCGACCTATGCTATTGGTAGCCTCATCCCAATGACTTTGCATATTTTTCAGAATGAAAATGAAGTAACAAGTCCCGGATATAAGAATCACAATCATGTACATTGGAAATTTAGAAATAGAAAGAGCGAAACAGGGACGGAAAAAAAAATTGGGGGGGGGGTGTGGTGGGGGAGGACAAATAGCATACTTACATAAGATAAGCCTCCATACGACTTTAACAACTCCACCATGTTATACTTCTTAGCTCCTTCTGCATCAGCTAGAGGCTGTCAAGGCAAAATCTGGATTAGATCATGACCCCAGCAGGAAATTGCAGAAAGCAAGGTTTCCTATGCATACTAAATCGAGAGACGCACTTACAAGTAATTCTACAGTTCACAATCATACGATGCATTGTCAGCTACTGGTAAGTTGCAATCTGCCATGAACCTTAATCGGTTCCTCCATACTTACAGACGAACATAAAGCCAGTGACAATCATTTTGTGCTTCTCAAATTACAGACGTCAATTATCTATCAATTGCACATGCAGAGTAAAAGCAAGCGCTTCCACGAAAGTCCATGAAGCATTAGTCAGTCAAACTAAATTGGGAAATTAAACAGGCTTAGAATCATAGGAGCTGTTTGCTTCCACGATTTTATCAAGCCCCAGGAAAATCACCACATAAGCAACGTCAAAACGATAGACAGCAGAGAACTGCAATCATCCCGCCAATAGTTATGGACTGAAAGGTTCTACTGGGAAAACCACTCTGGACTTGTTGATCGCAGCCCAATGATGGCAACCAGAAAATAATTACCAACAGTTCAGTTTCTTGAATGGCCCTACAATGCGAAGAAGCTCCTCCTTGTACCTACCTTACCGCTCTTATATCAATCGACACATCATTTTTCTTTTAACAAAGTAAGGCGGCATGTTACCAAAATCGTATAATCCTCAGTCGCATGACATCAGAAAATCTCTCGTTGACCTTCCATTTAGTCGGACATTTTCCACACAAAGTCTAGGTGAGCCAAGCAATATAAGCGGGCTCACAGTATCCAGTCCCTATTCTTTGGACAAGAAACGGGAGCGTTTGAGCAGAGGGGTAGAGGACGAGAGGCGGTACCGTGTTCTTCCAGCGATCCTGGGCGTTGACGTCGGCGCCGTACTCGATCAAGCACTCGGCGACGTCGATCCAGCCGTGGAGGGAGGCGACGTGGAGCGGGGTGCGGTTGTCGTAATCCCTAGCGTGGACGAGGGAGGGATCCTCCTCGAGGAGCTTGCGGACGGCGCCGACGTCGTTCTGGTGGGCGTGCCAGAGGATGAGGGACGTCCGGCTGACCCGGGCCTTCTCCTTCCGCTTCTCCTTGTCGGCGGGCCTCCCCGGGGGAGGGGTGGGCGAGGATGCGCCGGCGCCGCCGGAGGCATCGGAGCTGCAACCGCCGCTGCTCATGGGGAGGGGAGGGGGAGGGGGATCGGATCGGATCGGATCGATTCCGGATTTTCGACTTTTCTTCTTCCTGGATTGGGGAAAAAGGTGTAGAGGGGGTAGGCTGTCTGGGGATTTGGTGGTGGTGGTGTGCATCCGTTATTATGGTTCGTTTTACTTTTTCAACGGGAATGCGATTCGTGTTTTTGCTCTGCTGTGCGCGACTGGTCTTGCGGAATTTTCCTTCTTTGTCATTGTTATATTTTTTATATTATATATATTGAGAGAGAGAAAGAGGGAGCCGCCCTTATTAATGTCCGGATCCATACTCTACCCTCGTGATTGCATAGAAATGGAAAGGGGCGAAGGTTTGATTTGGGGGAAATTGAGATTTTATCCGAATCGAGGAAAAATTGACAATCCTGACTTCTCGATCGGATCTCGATCGAACAAAAGATACTCCTGTATAATCACCGACCTAACTTGATGGCATCGAATTGAAGTCAATGTTAGTCACTTGATTAATTAATAGACGAGTGCATTGCGGGTAGATGTCGGAGCTGCTCCTGATGCCGAGCCCTCAGACGAACATCGCGGAAAGTCAAAGTCAAACCGGTAGGGGCCCTTACCTTGAAGAAGTATGGGGTGGGTGTGCCCGTTCTTCGGACGCATTACCTAAGTCGTAAATACGACTTAGCTCTCTCAACGAGCACTGTCATGCTTCTTTGAGATCGATCCATCAGAACTCCGCTCTTCTCTACCAATCGTAGTACACTGTTTTAACCATTCGAGTTGGATAATGTACTATCAACTGCCCACCGAATCAAACCCTTCGCTCTCTGATTTTTCATTTTCCCTGAGATATTCAAATCGCAGTACACTATATCATAGACGGTTTTATTTTCACACTTTCAAGACGATCAGGCGTTTGTAATTTGGCCTTTGCATTGAACAGTGTGTACTATACGTGAACGCGATCGACATCAATATCTCCGACATATTCCTGTCAAGCCACCCATGCGGAAGTGTCGAAAAGGGAGATGTAAACAACCTATACTTACCAACTATTACGCTACAAGAGCGTTGCAGTAAACTGGTAGATACAGTCAGCTTTAAAACCCTTGGACAACTTCCTTTAAAGGACAGTTATCTGTGATCTTTTCAGATGATGTTGGAGCATACGTAGCATCAAGCCGAGCCTTCTTCATCTTCAAGGGACCGCTTCTTGGCCTTCAAGTTAAGCTCAAGGCTTTGGGGTAGAGGTGGTGTTCTTCCCCTACGAAACAAAACTGCGAGAGCCCTCATCTTGCGGCATAGATCAAACACCTGCATAGTGTGGAGTGATTAGCCAATGATCGAGAAATTCTGCAGGTTTTCGATATTTCCTCTGATCCCCTTACCGATGAGGCGTCTATCTCGGCAACACCTTCACAACCTTGACCTCTTCCCTGCAATAAGTCGCAATATTTTGCAGCTTCATTCTCATCTTCAAAGACCTGCAACAATATGGATGTTCTTCATATAGCAGATGAAATGAAAGAAAACCAGAAAAACAAAACGCAAGAACAAACTCGTTTATCAGTCCCAAGCAATCACAAGAGTATAGCACTCCGATCAGGTCTTAAAACAATTAATATTCAGGCAAGAACGTTTTTCACAGAAAGAAGAAACTGGCACCTAAACCTCTACATTTAGGTGCCATGCAGTTAGATACGCATACGCCGTAAAGAATGCATGATCATAGGCAAACCCTCCTTCCAATTAGATATGCATACGCCACAAAGAATCAGGCAAAAACATAGACCACAGTGCAAACCCTCCAAGAGCTTTATTTTTCCAAGTTATTGTGTTGAAAACGGCTCCATCAGTGTGCCTCTTGTACCATGGAAAAGGCTGCTGACAGTGCCAATTACACTAGAGCCAGACTCATTAGGACCTTCTGGCCACGAGTTCATCCCCAGGGTTGCAATAGATATTAGTAGCTTCAGCAAATAATACACCTAACTTCTACCTAGCTCTATCTAACTACTATCTTTGTTGGATGCTTAGATAAAATCCTTCATGCAAACTAAAGGATGACTTGATCTTGTTAACTGAAAATCTCTGCATGGGGAAAGTTCCTTCAGCCGAATTTGCTCCTGCATCACAAAAGTGGAAAAAGTGTACATCCAAATCTCAGCTTCCCCTACATCTCGTCATGGCATCATCTGAACCACATATGATTTTTCTAGTCAATTACAACCAGATCACCATTAGTTAGCACAGCTATGCTCTACACGGCTTTCCTATCTACCCAGTCCCTGCCAGTCGCTAGAGCAACAGGCATCAACCTTTCTAAACTAGGCGCCCGTTTTTTTTCTCCCCTGTGCAGCTCTGCTTGCTTCTCCTTGATCCTCTCATACCAGTTATTACCACACACTTGATGGCATTCAGGGACCAATGCTAAAATTAACATTTTCTAGAAGATGATATCATGTTAGGCCCGGCCACATCCTTTTGCAAGACAATGGACGCACCAAGCCACGTTACTAATTCATTAATATTTACTTCCTGTGATTCCTGGTCAAAACAATTAAAAGACTCGGGGCCAATATCAAAGAAAACCACGACAACAATATCAAAGAATTACAACCAGATCAGTGACTAACTATATTTTTTTTTATAAGAGGTTGGTAATTGAAGTAGATAATGAATTAGGACAGTTCGCTGGACTGCATCGCAAAACCAAGTGTTGTAACTCAGAGAATTGCTCAGCATGGAGCCTAAGTGTTAGAGATCCATAAGAGGAGAGGAGATAGCATGGGTAAATTCATTTACAATGCTCTTAAGGCTCCATTTGATACATATTAAGTTTCTGATGATTGTTTTGCACAATCACGTCCTCTATCTTTCTTTCTGGTTTGAATTCATCACATTTATACAGCAACAATAGCATAAAAGTCCTTAGCAGAATATCTAGAGAAAAAAACTTTACAAATTAAAGAACCTTACAAGAACTCCATCCCGGATATCCTCAACAAGCATCTGGAACTTTGTCCCGCTCCTTGGCTGCTTAGACTGACTTCCAGAACTGGAACTCCATTTTCCAGCTTTGGAGAACAGTAATCCAAGTTCTTTCTCAACTTCACTGTGAAAGCTAAAAAAAATGAGTAAAGGAGAAAAAGCAACAAAAAACCATATGAAACATGGCGCACATTACTCGCCAAACCTGCGATCTCTTCGTGTTTTCATTGTGCACAATTGGTTTTCACCATGAGTCAATACATACACAGGCTTTGAAGGGTCTCTCCATGGATTTGCCTCCAACACTAGATCAAAAAGGCAGAAAAAATAAGACCGGTTTCATTTGGTGTGCGCATAAATACAGGATATGGAAGCAGATCAAAGCACTATCCCACGCATAAAAATTATTCAACTCGGAAGAGAATCATCGCTCGCGACACCTTCTCTAGAGATCCCATCAATAGTGCAAACCTTGGCATAAAAAAGTTCTATCAATGTGGAGATAAGCAAAGCATAGCAAATACTCCCAAGACATGCAGATACTGCTACGAGAACTGCACTGCTCCTTATTGTAGCGAAGTTCAGCAACATCGTAGCATTACATAGCAACGATCCTTCCGTACACGTGTAGTACTCTTTAAATCTAAAAGTCAATGGCCTCATGAAGGTGAAGCAAAGGAACTCTAATCGACAGAAATCAAACAATTCCTCGAACATTCTCAGAGAAAGCGGCCACAAGTACGCGACAAAATGAACTGATGAAATTAGAAGAAAGTAAAGGAGTAACAAACGTTACCATCATAGCTGCTGGTCTCAAAGGACTGGTGGAGGTGCCTGCGCATGTCGTAAGCACGAGAAGACACTCTCTTCACGAACTCGTCGGAAGTCCCCGGAATGCTCCCGTCCATCCGCATCGCCCTCTCCACCTCGTCGCTCCCGTCGTCTTCCTCTCCTCCCACGTTCTTCCCGCGCGATCCGCAGCAGAGCTCCGCGAATCCCCACCGGCAGGGCACCGGAGAGCGCGGGACGAGGAAGCGCGGGGCGCGGCGGGGACGGAAGCCGCCGTGGGCCGCGCGGGAGGCGGCAAGCCGCCGCGGCCGCTGGAGCCGGAGCGAGTTGCTCGGAGGAGGGAGGACGATGGAAGGGGACACGGGAGAGAGAGGCTCCATGACCGAAGCCGCGATTGAAGAACCTCGGGCAGTTCCGCCGACGAACGGGGGAGGTGAAGTTAACGGAATGGAAGCCGGAATTCTCGGCGTAGAAAGCTCTGCAAGCGCGGTTGAAGAGACGAAGAAGAAGACGAAGACGAACAAGAAGTAGAGACGGAGAAGTTTGTATTGTTGAATCTCTGAAATGAATCTCTCTCTCTCTCTCGGCCGCGTGCGTGCCTGGGAGCGAGCGATTTTTTTCTCTCTCTTGCTTTCAGTTTGGCGGGTCCGGAGAGGGAAGTTGGGCTTGCGAAGAGAACAGTCAGCTCACGCTTCCTCCACGTGTCCTCCTCACAGAGCCACAGACCGAGGAGAGGAGCTTCCGATTTGGGCTTTGGGCTTTCGCTTTCCGCATGCGGCCCATCCCACGGCCCAAGGTGCTCTCGCACTGCACAAACTTGACCTGTGACGGGCGTCGTCGTCTTATTTCCATTTCACATCATTTTCAAGGCTCTATCGAGGCCGATGAGTCGAAAGAACGTGTCTAAGGAACATGCAGCCGACAGTGTCCCAGTGGTTTGAGAAAACAGTCCGCCATATCTTTTAGCGCGTGCGTTTTACTATAGATAAAACGAATAGGCATTCCAAGTGGGACGAAACGAAGAACAAGAACCAAAACCACCAGACACATAAAGACGTACGTTCGATAAAAGTATGCATCATAATAAGTCCGACCCTTTCACCACAGGGAACTCCCATCGAGTTCATCCGCGAACCGGGTCGAACCGAGGTGAACAACAATGAACCCGAAAATACAAAGAGAGTCACAACAAATGCAAGAATCATAGAGACGGGATGAGTATTGTTTTGATTACTTTATGTACAAGAAGATTTATTGCGCACAAGGATAGCAGGGCATGGGAATTGGTGGTATGGATACCATCAAGACAGCTTGAAGTACAGAACTAGGATAATAGCAAAGACGAGAGCCCCGATTATTGAGCCAACGATCCACTTGTTCCTAGTGATCCTCCTTGACATAGTCGTCAAAATCTTCTTGCTCTTGTCTATGGCATCATCCACCCCATGAAGCTGCAAATTAAAGATTGTAAAAAGAGCACCATAATCATTAACAGGTCTGAGCCTCCTAGGCAAAGTCCTAGCCCATAAAATGCAGCCATTACTGCAAACTCACTTCAGGTTCAAACAGGCGCACAACGCTAATTTGCAATGACAAAGATTTAGTTGGCAAAAGAAAGTTCAAGGATTTAATAAATAGAACTAAACTTCAATAGGTACCTTGTTATGAGAATGCAGGAGAGTCTGGCGCTGCTGGTGTAGATCTTGGAGTATGGAGACCCCCAGCTCCTCCGTCTCTAGCATGGTTCTTCTGCTCTCCTTTATCCTCTCACTAGAATCGTTCAATCTCTCCGTCGAGAAAGCCAATCTTTCTCTTTGATTAGCTGAAGCCTGCAGTTAAACATCCACTCAAAAGTAAATATTCAGCATGCTCTGCAGTTATCCAATAAAACTGCACAAACCCATAAGAAAAACCAAAATTCAGCAACCACATTGCTGTTGCAGGTTGCCAGACAACCTGAACTACCACTTAAGGGGCAAAAAGGCAAGTAGTATATCATGCAAGAATACACTCATTACAAAATCATACAACATAATCATTGAACCCAATGAGCAACTAAACCAAAAATTTCCCTTAAGTTAAAATGAGGTACAGGACTAGGACAATTCATGTACCAAATGCGCATCTAGATTCAAGGCATACCAGATGTGAATCTGCCATTCCAGCTTCCAACAATTCTTCGCGTGAAGCCTGGTTGGCATTAGGAGATGACATCCTTTTAACTTCTCTTTTCAGATTATTCAAGTCAGACTTGTATTCCCTCAACTTAGCAAGAAGCATTGCCTTGACACTTGGCTGCAAAGTTCTAGCATCCAGATCCATTTTCCGTATCTGGAAAATACAGACCAAAAAAGTCAGAAGCACAGAAAATCCTGAGAAAGAGCACAGGCCACAGGGAGAGAAAATCACGTCTCTCACAACTTACCAACCCATCAGCTTCATCAAGTGCAACTTTTAATTCAGATATCTGTTGCTTTCTTTCCTCTGCAAGTAAGATCACCAAATAGATTACTTTGAGCTGGTATGGCATCATCTCCATGTTTGTCAGAGCAAGAAACAAAATAAGGTAAATTCGCTCAGATTTCGTCTGTAGTTGTATTGAGGTTTACAGAGATTAGTCCGTCGGTTAAGATTATATACCTCCAAAACTTTCAACTGGAATTTGGAATGCAGTTGTACTCAAGTTGAGAAAGCATATATTCAATTATCCCACAGTTCCGTCGGTTAAGATTATATGCCTCCCAAACTTTCAACTGGAATTTGGAATGCAGTGGTACTCAAGTTGAGAAAGCATACATTCAACTATCCTGCAGTTCATTACAGAAGTTCAAACGCTCCAAATTTACAAACCAAGAAGCATCCTTTTTGCCTTTCGTCATATGAGTGTGTCGATTATATCAGACTTCCAGAAAACAAACTAAGCAAATATTTTGTTTAGGGAACAGATTCTTTACGAGCTAGGTGACTGTACTACAGTATGCCAGACCTAAAATGTTCCCAACTCATTAGTGACCCGCCACGAAAACCAAGTGCTTCTAGAGACCAACAACAAGCTATATATCAGAAGGCATCTCCTAACACAAATTAGTTCTCTGAGATAGACAGAAAGTTGGACTTCATTCGTGCAAATTTAGAGGCCCTAACAACTTAGCCATAGGCATGCCACGGATACCAAGTTCTACATTCCTCGGCGACTAGTGTTGGGTTTTCAATCCTTAAATGACCCGCAAGTATCGAACAGCAGTTCCCAATTCACTGACAGCACAAACGAATTGTTCAATTCTCTAACAGCTCAAGCACTAGAAGAAGTAAATCAAAAGTGCAAACCCCACAGCAGGAGACGATCCGACCACATCTTTACAAAGAAGATACGGGATGTTGCCAAACCACCAGACACCAAATCGGGGCACATAAATAGAAACGCGCAACCCTGGAATATGGATCGCTCACAACTTAGCGACCAAAAGGGAAAGAAAGTTTGCAGAACTCCAGGTCGACGTCGCGTCGATTTCTTCGAGCGAAAGAGCAAACCAACCGCAATCAGAAAAGAAATCGAATTTCGTCGGATCACGAGTTTCCGATTACCTGCGTCGAGGAGCGAAGCGGAGCCGCATTTTCTGGAGATGCCGGCCGAGAGCTCGCAGTACTGACGCTCGTACCCTTCGAAGACTTCGCTCATCTCGTCGCTCCCGCTGATCGATCAATCGCCTCTTTCCCGGGGGGACAAAATTCACAGCTGCGAGCGATCGGATTCGGATCTCGGAACCCTAACGCGAAGAAGAAAGAGTTCAGGAAATGAGGAGAAACCGAGCGGTGGGGACTATGGTCAACAGCGTCTGCGGTGCGAGGGGCGATCGCAGTTGGCCTCGAATCAAAGGTTAAACAATCGAAGAAGAAGAAGAAGAAGATGATGATGAAGGAGGAGGAGAGTAGAGGGAGTGATGGAGAGAATTGATGGAACGATGAATCAAGTTAAAGATAACCCCGGTGGTGGAAGCAAGAACAGACCGTGTGTCCTTTTGACTATTTTGGCTCTTCAAGCAACCGGAAAAATTACCATTTTCAAAATCATCTTCATTTACATCTTTCATAAGCAACTTTTTCTTGGTCTAATCTTTCATAAGCATTGACAAATGCGTAATTTATTACTAAATATTTACCTCTCGTGTATCCGACTTTAATATTCGAAGCTTTTCTTATCGTATAAACAACATTACATATAAGAAATTCAAACTTAAAATCTTTTCTCTTTTATATATTATGTCAATAATGTATTTACTGTCGTAAAATATTGCGTTGTAAGTATATAATAGAGAGAATAGAGATTAAGTAGAGAAAGCTGATAAACACCAAAGATATATATTTTCTCCTTCCATTATGTTCTGATTTTTTTACACAATGACCAAAAATAAACTCCTATTTATAAGAAAACAAGAATGCACATATCATTAATGTTAATGTATTGAATACATACATTGAATAGGGAGATGAACATTCATTGGAGATTGTACGTAGAATGTAGGTTACAAATATATAGGTACATTGAATATAATGAATATTCATTCATGTATTTCATAACACTCTCCCTTGAATATTCATTGTATTCATTATATTATGAATGTGCATTGAATGATACTGCCTCATTAAAAACTTTAAGCCGGAAAAACCCAGTGGGACAAAAACCGGACAAAAGAGAAAAAGAGTACACAGCACAAATTTTAAGATCTCTCCCTTTTATAGATGCGTAAATTGCCTCATTAAAACTTTAAGCCGGAAAAACCCTGTGGGAAAAAACCGGACAGAAAGAAAAAGAGTGCAATGCATAGTTCATAATATCTCCCCCTCGATTTGAGCTATATAGCCACTGCTGGGGCTAGTCAATCTTGCATCTTATGAACTCGCCGCATACCAATGCCATATACTAATTTCTCAAAAGTTGACGTTGGCAATGATTTGGTAAAAAGATCTGCAAGATTATTTATGGATTGAATCTGCTTAACATCAATTTGTCGACTTTCTTGGAGTTCGTGAGTATAGAAAAATTTCGGCGAGATATGCTTGGTCTTATCACATTTGAAATATCCTCCCCGATCTTATCACCTTTGAAATATCCTCCCCTAACTTGTGCAACACAAGCAGCATTATCTTCATAAATTATAGTGGGAGAATTTGTAACCGGTGTTAAACAACAATAATTGTGAATATGTGTTATAACAGATCTTAACCAAACACACTCTCTTCCAGCTTCATATAAAGCAATAATCTCAGAGTGATTGGAAGATGTAGCTACTAGCGATTACTTCGTAGAATGACAACAAATGGCGGTGCCGTTATAACAAAATAAATAACCGGTTTGAGAGCGAGCTTTATGTGGATCATATCTATATCCAGCATCAGTATATCCAACTTAACCAGAGGTAGTGGAATCCTTGGAATAATATAATCCCAAATCTATGGTTCCTCGGAGATAACGAAAAATATGTTTAACTCCATTCCAGTGTCTCCGAATTGGCTCAGAACTAAAACGTGCCAATAAATTTACCGCAAAAGCGATATCTGGTCTCGTACATTGTGCCAAGTACATCAAAGCCCCAATTGCATTGAGATATGGTACTTCAGGACCAAGTATCTCTTCATCAGATTCTCTAGGACGAAACGGATCCTTTTGGGGATCTAGAGACCTTACAACCAAATGGGTGCTCAATGGGTGAGCCTTGTCCATGTTGAAGCGTTTTAAGTAATCTTTCAATGTATGCTGATTGATGGATGATTATTCCATGTGCATTATGCTCAAGCTCTAGACCAAGACAAAGTTTGGTTTTACCCAAATCTTTAACTTCAAATTCCCTTTTCAAATACTCAACAGTTTTAGCTAACTCTTCTGGAGTTCCAATTAAATTTATATCGTTGACATAAACTGCTACAATAGCAAATCCGATTTCTGATTTCTTAATAAACACGCATGGGCAGATAGGATCATTCTTGTACCTTTCCTTAATTAGGTACTCACTTAGGCGTTGATACCACATGCGACCGGATTGCTTTAACCCGTACAAAGATCTTTGCAATTTTATTGAGAATAAGTTGCGGGGAGTGCATGCATCAGGCATTTTGAATCCCTCGGGAATTTTCATATAAATATCCGAGTCTAATGAGCCATATAGATATGCCGTCACAACGTCCATAAGACGCATTTCCAATCTTTCAGAGAGTACCAGGCTAATGAGAAAACGAAATGTAATCATATCCATCACAGGTGAATATGTCTCATCATAATCAATCCCAGGTCTCTAGGAGAATCCTTAGGCAACGAGTCGGGTTTTATACCTGACAATCTCGTTTTTCTCATTTCGTTTCCGGACAAATACCCATTTATATCCAACGGGCTTTACATTATCGGGGATGCGAGTTATGGGTCCAAAAACCTCTCGTTTGATTAGGGAAGCTAATTCAGCCTTAATTGCTTCCTCCCATTTAGACCAATCTTGCCTTTGACGGCATTCAATAATAGATTGCGGCTCACAATCATCATCCATAATTTTATGAGCAACTGAGAATGCAAAAGCATCATCAATGATGATTTCATTCCAATCCCAAATCTCATTACAATATGTAATGGGATTCTCAGTATTCCCAGGGTTGGTGATCTTTTCATGGGTTTATGCCTCTTCAGGGGCAATAAGCTCTTTGGGAGCAAGCACAACACCAGGCTCTTCTGGAGCAGATTTTTTATTCTTTCCCCTTCGTTTTCGAGAAACAGCGTCTTTTGATCCTATCGGTCTACCGTGTTTCAAGTGTGGGGGACTTTGATCTATTTTAGCTTGTCCTTCGGGAACAGCTATCCTAGCTGGAGTATTTGCAGCTGGAATATGAGACTTCGTTACCTTAGTAGCATCATTAAATGCATCAGGAAGTCTATTGGCCATAGCCTGTAAATGGATTATGCGCTGCACCTCGTTTTCACACTCAGGAGTTCTTTGGTCTAATTGATATAAATTTTTCTCATTCCAGGAGAAAACCTTAACTGGTTTTTGCTTCGCAGTCATGTCAGTTTTAGGTGTCCCAATTGATGAAAACATAGTCTCATTGAAATGACAATTTGCGAATCTGACAGTCAAAAGATCACCAGAAGTTGGTTCCAAGAACTTAATGATGGACGGTGAATTAAACCCAACATAAATGCCCAAACGGCGTTGGGGACCCATTTTCGTTCTTTTTTGCGGTGCTACAGGCACCTGTACTGCACAACCAAAGGTGCGTAAATGTGAAATATCAGGTTCATAACCAAGAACCATTTGAAGGGGAGATTGTAAGAGACTAGCAGTGGGGCGCAATCTTATTAGGGTTGCCGCATGCAAAACTGCATGACCCCATGCTGTATCGTTGAGATTCGTTCTCAATAATAGAGTGCGGGCAATGATTTAGATATGTTTAATCAAGGATTCTGCCAATCCATTTTGAGTATGAATATATGCGACCGGGTGCTCAACTTCGATTCCGAGTGAAGCACAATACGTATCAAAACTCTTTGATGTAAATTCACCAGCATTATCCATCCTTATGCTTTTAATTGGATAATCAGGGAATTGTGCCCAAAGCTTTATAATATGTGCAAGTAAACGTGCAAAGGTGACATTGCGCGTAGATAATAGACAAACATGGGACCATCTACAGGATGCGTCCACTAGTACTATAAAATATCGAAACGGTCCACTTGGTGGTTATATTGGTCCACAAATATCACCCTGAATTCTTTGCAGGAATAAAGGGGATTCAAGATTAATCTTTGTTATAGAAGGTTTGGTAATGAGTTTTCCTTGTGACCAAATTTCACAATTGTAATCTTTGGACAACAATACCTTTGTATCCTTTAAAGGGTGCCCTTTTGTATTCTGAATTATTCTACGCATCATTGAAGCGCCAGGGTGACCAAGGCGATCATGCCATAATCCAAACTGATCAGGGTTTACCAATCTCCAGGATATGGTGGAGTGGGTTTCAACGGCCTTAATCATGAGACAATACAAACCCATAGAAGAAGCTTCTAGCTTCTCATGGATGGTCTTCAGGCCCATCTTATAAGAGGTAATGCCAATATAATCTTTATTTTGCTCATAAATAGTCTCAATATGGTACCCATTACAGCGTACATCTTTGAAGCTAAGCAGATTCCTTTTTTATCTACTGCTTAGAAATGCATCCTCAATATGCAGGATGGTGCCTTTTGGCAAAACAATTGTGGCATTCCCGAAACCATCAATAATCGAAATAGGACTTGATATTGTATGTATGCAATGTCATACTCGAGAAAAAGTGTTTACTATGAAATATGGTATGTATTGATGCACTATCAAGCAAACAAACATCTTCCTTTTTCTCGGTATTTTCCATTTGCATTTATGTTGACAACTTCAAGTGTCAAGTATCATAAAATTTTCATATTAGTTATAGGGTCAAATAAAATTTCAAAATAATAAATATTATATCAGGTTCATAAGCATTTCATTGCATAACCATATTAAAGAGCAATAAAAGGTAATACATTTAAAGAAAAGCAACTAGAAAATAAATTATTAGAATCATAAAATTCGAAGTCTAAGTTGTCATCCACCAGTCCGATGCTTCATCAAAGTAATGAGAGGTCCTCAAAGAAATCAGAGACATCCAGGGATGCATTTGCTACTTCAGGAGCAAGAGGAGTCCCACCAACAGAGATATTGTTGGCCTCAACGGTGGTTATGGCAGTATGATTGATTTCAATAGCGTGAGATTCACCACCCTTGCCCCTATTTTTTAAAGATGCCTGGTATAGATCAACAAAGTGCTTTAGCGTACGGGAAGTACGTGACCAGTGCCCAGTCATGCCACAACGATAACAAACACTTTCATTAGTCACCTTCTTTTGCTTCTTTTCTTTGTCATGATTCGGGTCAAAGTTTGATTTCCTAGGGCGGTTAAATTTCTTGCCACCCCTTCGAGGATTATGTTCTTGCTTGCGCTTATAGCCCTTAAAATGGCTAGTATTTTTCTCAAAGTTAGCATGTGCTTCAGGCAATGCTTTTGACCCAGTAGGTCTAAGATCATGATTTTTGAGCAGCAATTCATTAGTTTGCTCAGCAGTGAGGAGCACAAAAATTAATTCAAAGTATGTGGCAAATTGACGCTGCCAGTATTGCTGTTGCAATACAATATTCGAAGCATGGAAGGTGGAGAAAGTTTTCTCTAACAGTTCCGCATCAGTGAGCTTGATACCGCATAACTCAAGCCGAGAAACAATATCAAATAAAGCGGAGTTATAGTCAAACACCGATTTAAAATCTTGCAGTCTGAGATTTTGCCAGTCATACTGTGCTTGAGGGAGGATAACAGTCTTGGTATGATCATACCTATCCTTCAACCTCTTCCACAAGGTCTGAGGGTCTCGAACGGATAAATATTGAGTCTGCAGGCTCTCATGCAAATGACGACGAATAAAAATCAGTGCATTTGCTTTATCTTTTGCATTTGAGGTTCCGTCTTCTGTAATTGCATTAGCGAGATCTTGCCCTTGGAGGTGCATTTCCATGTCAAGGCACCAGGATAGATAATTATTTCCACTCACTTCCAGGATGTGGAATTTGGGCTTTTCAATATTTGCCATAATTCTTGCAAAACAAATGAATCCTTAAATTAATTAGAAGGATTTCCAAATATCCACCGCCACTTCAGGAGCAGAAGGATACTTTTAGATTGGAAATTGGCTTCAGGCCAAGAAAAAGAAAAATGAAGAATTGATAGGAGAAGATGAAATATAAGTTGACTAATGAAAACAAAGAGAACACTTACCTTGCAAAAATTATTTACTCAGTTGGTAGATCTTCGTGCTGATAACGTGTTGTAAAATATTGCGTTGCAAGTATATAATAGAGAGAATAGAGATTAAGTAGAGAAAGCAGATAAACACCAAAGATATATATTTTCTCCTTTCATTATGTTCTGATATTTTTACACAATGACCAAAACTAAACTCCTATTTATAAGAAAACAAGAATGCACATATCATTAATGTCAATGTATTGAATACATACATTGAATAGGGAGATGAACATTCATTGGAGATTGTACGTAGAATGTAGGTTACAAATGTACCATAATAGGTACATTGAATATAATGAATATGCATTCATGTATTTCATAACATTTACATTAATTGATAAGTTTTTCAGAATAAATAGATTCGTGCTTTTGATAGTAATAATAAGGGAAAATGACATAAACAGTTCATGAACTTTGGCACAATATGCAATTTGGTCCATGAAGTTTTAATTTGTTCAATATGGTCCCTGAACTTTAACCAAATGTGCAATGTGGTCCCTGAACTTTTGGTACATGTTCAATTCAGTCCCTGAACTATATGAAAATGTTTAGTGTAGTCATTTCCATTAATTCAAGTTGAGGGACTACATTGAACATTTTCATATAGTTCAGGGACTGAATTAAACATGTACCAAAAGTTCAGGGATGACATTGAACAAAATAGAAGTTCAGGGACCACATTGAACATTAACCTAAAATTCAGGGATTACATTAAACAAATTAAAAATTCAGGAATCAAATTGCACATTGAGCCAAAGTTCAGGAACTGTTTGTGTCATTATCCTATAATAATAACGAGAACGTCCACGCGCCGTTGTTTGTCGAGAGTGAAAATCTTAAGCTCATGAAATAAAGCCTGCTGATACCCTGAGTATAATTCAGACTAAAGCCTAGATCGTAGATCAAATACGTAACTGTTTGAATTTGATTGCATAGGGAATCCATCGTTGTATCCCTCTCTTAACACCAAGAATCAACCTATATGTACCACCACATTGATGACCTATCACTGGTCTTCATGACATACAGAAAGACATTGCTTAAAGTATCGTGATTCTTAAATTCGTCTATATAAATTCGAGATGCATTTTCACCAATAAAACAATGTACTTCTAATACGAGTGATTAAGCAAAAAGTCCGTTTTGTGGGACAAATGAACATTGCCTCTCGGTACATGTCTCCCTCGTGTCAAGCGATCGGACAGAACAAAGAGACCATAGGAGCCAAAAACCGACCAGAGTCTGATCATGGTTCGTGTGGCGATGAGCCAAGACAGCAGATCATTACTGTTCAGATCGTGATGTTCAATCTTTCAACCCCCTTCAGTTTTATCGGTTAAACAAACTGTGCAGACAAAAGCAGCGCACTACATGCCGCGACAAAGGAGAAGCAAGAGGGCAAAGACTTCATCTTGGGATTAAGCCAAGGTATATTCTCTTGATAATCCCCGAGAGAAATTGATCCGTTAGAAAGAGCGGAGTTTGCATTCTTAAGAACGACAGTTAAAAGGATTGAGAATTTGGCAACTGCAAAGATTAAGCACTTCAACAACAGAAAAGACGTGTGGCCCAAAATTCAAAGCAGTACTAGATTTCTTTACAAGTTGCAGTACAAAACAAGTAGACTGTATGAGCAGGCATCCGTCTTATAACCCCATTAATCAGATCCATTATGTATATCACTCGCTCTGCAAAAGATCGTAAAGAACGGAAGAAGCATTTCTGGAACCTTCAAAAACCTAGCTGAACTAACAAAGTGACCATCATCGTTAGCTGACAACATCCCTGGTTCTGAATAAATCAGCAGACTAACACAAGTTTGGATGGGTATGCTTATATTTCTGGACAGAGAACGAGTGTGTACTCCCAAGAGTCCTTCCCCATTATAACTATGCCCCATGAAACTGAGCAGTGCATCTTGAAAATAAACATAAAAGTTGTTGCAATGGAAGCAATAGTGAGGAAAAGACACAAACCCAAGAAGAGCAGGGTAAGTGTCAACTAACCGACATTGCTGCAGATCTAAGAATGAGAATGCAAAAATCTCAGGTTCATCTTTTCCATTCATTATACGTATGGCAGCTCCACAAAATTAATCATAGCCAAGACTCACAGCTTTTCTGACTCACATCCAAACCATATTATATTCTTCAGTGCACTAAATGCTAACTACCATTGCTGGCCAATGACTCATTTGAATGAGCAGAAACTGTCTCCTCAGATACCTGATTTCCCTGAGTTTCAGCTTGCGGTAATTCTTCATCGGGGAATACCTCAGATTGCAGTGATGGAGCAATGTTATTCACATGTAGCCATGTTAGTTCCCACAAGCTATCCCCTCCTAAGGTGCTCCGCTGCACAAGGACACCCCCTGTCTTCATCACAAGTAGAGTGTTCTTGAGGAGCTCAGGCACTAGCTCCTGAAGCTTTTCACTTTTCTTCCCACGAACTTTCACCTTCATGTACTTTTCCATTCGGCTGAGCACACCCAACCACAATTTGCAGAAAGCTGTCAATTGCGAGAGGTCATGAAGCAATTGTAGAAATACTTTTAAGAGAAGCTTCATTGCAAGGATATGTGTGCCTTCCAAGTTTCGAAAGTCTTTCTGGGATTGTCCCTGAGCAATTTCCAGCAAATCATCAAGCATTGTAAAGATGACCAAGTCGAAACACTGTGACCATAGATTATGCGGAAGTTGAATCCCATCTACTCCTGTCAAGCATCTTTGCAGTGACAAAAGTGCATGATTTCTGACCTCTTCTCTTTGGTCCAAGCAGACTTTTCTCAATCCCTGTACAAGCCTCAACCACATTTCCCCTATATCCTGAGACATTTTGGCGACTTCATCTTCTGCCATTGCTTCCCTAGCTTCACAAGCCCACCGTGCCAGAGAATCAACAGAACCTGCCATGAGATCCAGTGCGCGAACAGACCGTTCTGCCTGTCCAACACGAGATTCGGCAAACTGCCTGGATGCATCTACACACAAAACATAATTTGCTGGCAATAAGTGAGCCCCATCTGACATGATAAACAACAGTGCATCAAATCCTGCTTCAGAAGCCTCTGGATGACGAGCTGTTATAGAAAGAAGGGACGTGATGGTCCGCCATCCCATTTGTGACCTGATGTGAGTGGCATTAGCTTTCACCAGGCGACTAACTTCTTGAGTAATCTGCTCGCAATACGCATCCGCAACCCGAGCATCAAGCTTCAAGACAAGTTGCATAGACCTCAAAAGTTCATCAGCGAGGTTCTCCTTGTAAGGAAGCAGGCGCTGACAAATCCGAAGAAGCCCAAAGACAGCCTTCTCTACCAAGGCACAGGGCATGACAGTCGACTGAACAATGTTAGCAATATGCTCATAGACACCCTGCCATAGGAGCACAATTCGGTCTCGATTATTCAAAGTGATTGCAATCAACAACTCCAGGCAGAAAACAGCAGTATCTTCATCCTCAGGTGAGCTGTTCCCTTTCTGGGGCCGCCCAGCAGCCCAAATAAGAGCCCGTGCCAGCTGCAATAGAGATTCAGCTTGCAGAAACTTACTCTCCGTGAATATGCTGTCTATGTGGCACTTTTGAATTGTCTGAAGTGTGCGCTGATGAGCAGCGAGTTGTTGCTCAGTGGGCTGTGATCTTGGCTCTTCTGTATCGAGAGATAAAAGCTGACTGAACCTACCCATTAATCCAGAAGATCTCCTTGGAGTTCCCATGGAAGGCATATGTGCTGCAGCTAAAGAATTAGCAACCGGCTTACCATGTCCGGGTTCAGCAGAAACCTCTGTCTCATCAGCCGCATCACTTGCCACACGAGCTGGAAGAAGGCCAAGCTTGTGTAATCTTAAGATGCAATCCAGGATGTTTCTCCAACCAGTGCGGATATAATCACCATATCTATTTGCAATGGTGAAAACTGTTATTGTTGCCATCCTTGCTTTTGCGTCATCACCAAATGCTAACACAGGTTCATCAACGGACGAAGGATTTAAAAGGGTAGTGAATTTGCAAAGAGAAACAACCAGATCATCCAGCACATCTTCAAGATGATGGCATGCTGATATCTTGGCAACAGCCAAGAAACCATCAATGCATGTCTGGTAAACCTCTTCATGGTCTGCATGATCAAACACCACGGAGATTGCGGCAATGGTCGGACCAGACATTATAGCAAACATGTCATGATCAAGATATGCTCTAGAATCAGAAATAATGAATGGAGCAGTTCTCTTTGATTTATGCATCAAGTCAATCCAACGGCTCGGGTTCATTTCAGGATACCCAGCACCTTGTTCCGGAGTGGTGCGAATTTCATTTTTGCAAATGGAGTGGTAAAGCTCTATCAAAAAATCTCGAGGTAGATCACTGCCTCCATTGATATGTCTATTATTCCGAATAAAATCCTCCTCGGTCATTTTCTTCTTTACCTGTATATTATGCTGGTCTGTGTTGAGCATTATGAGAGAGTATGACAACAAAAGAGCAGCATCCTTGTTAACCAAAATTTGTGGTGACTGCTCATAATATCTCTCTGAAAAAGCCTCAAGGACTCTCTGAATCTTCTGTGATTCTCCAGGCAGTCGGAAAGTTTCCAAAAACAACCTAAGTGCAGTATCTAGATGCATGTCTTGGAAATCAAAGGTCCCAGCAAATTCATGAAGAACCTGAACACAAAACTCATCATGGTTTCCAAGGAAATCACCAACAAGATTCTTATCCAACCCTGCAGTGTACCTAAAGAAGCAAGCTACACTTTGTGGATCAAGCTTGTCAGGTAAGAGATGT